ATTCATATAAAGCGTAAGCAGAGATACTAAATATAAATCACATTACAGATTACAAGTGTTGTATTTGGGAATAAAATTAATAAACAGAATTCGAAAAGGAATGTAACAGTTACTTACAACTGACGATACAAAGTATTATAAGTGCTGAGAATTAAAAGAAAACCTCACTAAAAATCGAAGTGGCTAAGACTCTCGAGGGCCCTTAATTAAACTCGAAGCACGTAGCACTCCTTGATTCAGTCCCCCCGGGCAGAGTGACACCCTCCCCACTCTTGTGGACGCCCCACCTTCCTTATGGACCGCTTAGATTTCCACCCCCCCAGGTTGTGTGGACAGAATACTTGAAGTCTGGAATCTTGTAAGAATTGGTTTTGAGAGATTGGACAGTTTTATCACTGTTATTTTTGTTAGCTAAGGTTAATGTATTTCTTTGTGATTTTTCTGTCTCTGGATTGTATTGCTTTTCTGATACGAGTATAAGCTAAAAATGCTTTATATCTTAACTTTTTGATGGTGTGGATTTTGTTGTGAATCACACCTCATTTCACCAAATGATAAATAAATGACTTTTTTTTTAATTTTATTGACAACGTCATATGCGTTTCTTGTTTGATTAAAAAAATGTCTTCGTATTTATACAAACTAAAGAACTTAAGTGTTTTATTCAGTAAAAACGAGGCAAAAAATAAAGCGGAAGACCTGCAGGATCGCGAATTTACCACATCTTTTATTCACAGTCCACTGAATGATAGTTTTCATAAAACGTGGTGAAGTTGAATGCATTTGTGGATGGAGCCTTTTCGAAGTTATTAGTTTTATAATGTATTTTTAGATATAATCTACTATTGATTATAATGTTTTCGGTATTGATTTTACTTTTAACACAAAAAATCATGGATTTTCTTCCCGTAATGACATTAGCATATTACCAACGTTCGCTACCGTAAAACGCCTTTACGAATCCAATTATAGAGGAGCAAGTCGCTCTTAAGTACATGCAAGATGTCCTTTGCTATTAGTAAGTGGAAAAAAGGCTTCAAAAGTGCCTATTCAGAGGAAGTAAAATTCAATGCATTTGGTATAAAAAAGCTTATTATGAAAATTTCAATTTTGAATTCTAATATTTACATTTTCATGTATTTATGTTAATAAAAGTACCAAATAAAAAACCTGTTTGATTATGATTGTTTCAAAACAATTATTAATGATTTTAAAATTCTTAACTGCAAACCGAAACAGTGGTAAGTAATGAAAAAAAGAAAAGAGGCTGGAATAGCAGCGGTGTAATTATTCCAAAAGCTAATGTGCCACTTATTTATTCCCCGACTAATTGAGAGAAGGAAGCAGTTTAAAAAAAAAACATTTGAAAAACTGGAGGTGAATCAAACATTCATGAAATAAGAAGAGGTAGCTCTTATTGGTTAATCAACATAATGTCTACTTTTTAAATTACATCAGATATATTTTTTAAAGGTTCCTCTAGGCACAATTTTGGGACCCCAATTATATTCGTCAATTATATTTTTGCCGTTTTTTATCTATTATGAAAAGCATTTTTGTTTCTACCTCAATAATTTATTTATACGTTTTACAGGTAAATGAATTATTCAGAGGCAACTTTATATTAATTATCTTACAGTTCTGTAGTTTCTAACTTGAAAATTGCCGTACTAACAGCAGGTAGTTTAAGTTCATGGGTTACAAACTTCCGGGCTCAATTAGCGTCGAATTAAACAGGTTCGGAGAGGTGACAAATCGCGGGCCGCGGTCCTCCATCTTGACGTTGACTAATTGTCGGCCATTTAATTTCGCGGCGGTAATTATAAATAAAATTTCGACGATAAATTGCTTGGGGCACATTAATCAAGAAGTTGGGACACTGATTAAAATGCCGTTCGTGCAACTATTCGCGAAGTTGATATTGTTAATTTACACGTAGGGGATGGAGGGTTGGTAGTGCATTTAACGTGATGTGGATTAAGTGTTTGGTTGTTTAATGGTGTTGCAATTATTTACAGTGAGCCTAATATTTCTAAATTTAAAGATGAGAAACGTCATTAAGACATTAGATTATTTTGAATAAATTAATAATAACAAAAAAATATATAATTTTACATCCTTATTGCAAAAATATAGTAGTAACAGGTTTAATTTAAAATATTTTTATTTTAATTACGTGATAGCAAATTATCACAACTATATTGATTATGTAATAAGCCTCTTATTTTAGTGCAGATTGTCATCAACGTGTAGTAACACTGCATCTATATACAAAGATACTCTTATCGTATACTCTTATAGAGATAGATTGTGGTCCTAATTAAATAAAAGGAACATCTAACTAAAATATAGCTTCATATCGCTCATAGAGCATAATAAAATTCTGATCTTGAATTACATGTACGAGGTCCATGGATAAGAAAAGCTTTTCAAGAACATCACTAGTATCTACTTATACTCGCTATGTAGAAACAGGAACATGTGCCCAATAACTCACTCGACCCTTCGATTCGCCGTCTCCTTTCAACCCTTTTCAGCAAGCATTCCTGTCTCTTTCGCACGCATTGTCAATGCAATGAAAACGGCGAATCTATGCGTCTGAATCTCAGACGTGGGTGCTCCCGCCCTCGTCTTTAAATGAACTGGGGAGATGTTGAGTAGGTACTTGATGAAGATCGAAATCATAGGGTAAGGTAAAACTTGTTAGAAACGGTAAATGGCCATTATTAAAACTAATGGCAATAGTTACCGTTATTCAGACAATGGAAAATTTGTATTAATCAATTTAAATGAACTGGAGCTACCATTTATCAAAATATCTTGGAATCGTTAAATTTTTAATTAAATTTATGAATCCTGCACTTAACTAGTAACATATTAAGGCATAAGATCCATTGGAGAACTTCGGTCTCTTGCAATAACCCGACGCATTGTCAACTGTATTTAAATATCTGCAAAACTTCATCAGTGAGATTTCATCTAAGTTAATCAAGATATTGCTGAATTAGTTAATTGCTGATAATGTTTATCTGGTTTGATAAACAATTTATAGGTCTGCAGAAAACTTGCTAGAATCAGAATTATGTTTACTTATAGTATGTAGAGATAGAATGTCTTCTTTGTATTCCAAACTAATAATTTCTGTTTATTATAAACAAGATGATTTTTAAAGGTAAATAATAGTATTAACCGAATAAATATATTATAACTTAGGTTTTGGATTTCATAAAAAAATTCATTTCATAGCTCGGTGGCGTAGAGGATAAGCGCCGCGGCCCGCGATCGTTGTTGTTAAGCAACTTTCGCAAGGGTCGGTCACGGGATGGGTGACCAAAAAAATTATTATCTCAAGCTACTTCGTGCTTCGGAAGGCACGTTAAGCCGTTGGTCCCGGCTGCATTTGCAGCCGTTAATACCCTCCAATCCGCATTGGGCCAGCGTGGAGAGTCATGGCCCATCCTCCTTAACCATCCATAAGGAAGGCCTGAGCCCCTGCAGTGGGGACGTAAAAGGGCTGGTGGTGGTGGTGATGAACAAATAAATTATATACACTTCTTTAAATTTGTGTAACGAAAATGTCAGCAATGGAAATATCTCCATCGATAATACGATAGTATCAATCTTGTAATAAGGTAGGTGTAAACATTGCAAATAGATCCTATCATCGGTACAAATAAAAGTATTTTTTTAACAGAAGATACAGATAATAATCAGAAATCAGTAAACGACCTCCTTGAAAGTACATGAACTATTCAAAGTGTTATTCTGTCTATAAATGACAACAGCTCATGAAATCATGATAGCACTTGAGGGTTAAGCAGACTACGGTCCCGACGAATCTTATCCAGCGAGTTAAGTGTTAGTGAGACAGCGTCATACAGACCGCAACATCTTATATTCATGAAGGCCCTTGGTATACACACGGTTATAACGAATATCCAATATGAGGTGTCACAGTAATGATTATAGTACGCAAATTAAATACATACTATAAAAGCATTTTATTGCTAATTATAAAATATTCTTTATTCAATTATACTTATTTAAAGCACCTTTGTACTGTCTATCAATTTTGGCTATCATCTATCAATTAGTGTATATTTAAGTAAATCACATGACTCGACATCAACAAGACGATATATATCACCTGTCAGAGCTTGTTCGACGCCCGTAAAAGCAGTGAGTAGGTGTAACCCAATCGTCCCCTATAACGTAACCGCAAACGCGTCAAGCGCATCCTCGCCACCCATTACCCGATTATTATAAAACAACTTCTCGTCTTAGGTGTTAATGCACATTAATTATGAGGGGTGTCTGAAGGAGTTCTGACAGGATCCCAATTTTGGGTAATTTCGGCCATAAGTTATTGTCGTTAAAACCAGTTTGTCCTTGTTTTAAATAATTTATTGTGTTATAAACCTTTTGCCAGTTGAAATAGGGAAGCGATTTTGATTTTGTTTTTTTTTTATGGTTTAAGCTAATTCGCCTGCACAAAAAGTATGAATTATTTTTTTATTTTATAAAATGTTAAGCTTATAAAATAATAACATATAAACACAATATGTATTTTGTTGATACTTAATTTCTCTGAATTAGAAAAATCTTCCGCATATTTAGAGTTTTCATTTAGTGCCCGATATTTCGTTCTTGCAAGCGCCATTATTTTGCGGGAAGCGAAAATTTTTGCGGATGGGTGTCATGGTAGCAATCACGTAAAAAACTATAACTCTAATATAAATAACAATTCAAGTTTAAAATAACATATTCCGTATATTTTTCAAAAATAACTTCACATAACTAATAAGGTCTAACATATTATTATAAGAAATCTAAATTAGACTAACCCCAAAAGAATTACTAAATATGTGCTAAATGATGCATTACGTCATTAAGTACACTTGAAATGTAGTTTGGTATTTAAATAACATGTGTAACACATGTATATCTAACCTAAACTTCTACACAAGCTTTGTGAGATAAGTGTGAGTTGGAAAACTTACCAGTATGTATGTAGGTATGTTTCTTCATATCAGATTTCTGATGGAACCTCTTCCCGCAGTACTGGCAAGGGTACGGCCTGGTGTCGGAGTGGATTAGAAGGTGTGTGGATAGCGTACTGGACCTTTTGAACGTCTTGCCGCATTGTTTACACTCGAACACTTTTTCGACGCTGTGCACCGCCCTGGTTGGAGGGTTTTTCGTGAGACAAATCGATAGTAACAGTCCAAAATACATCATACATAACTACGAGTATCAATAGATCGCTTGGCTAAAGTAAACCAGGCGTCTTTTCGCGTTCATTTTCATTTGGCTGCTTGTAAAATTTTTTCAATTAGATTTAAAACTCTACCCTCAAATCATTGAGGTTTAAAATCAAATGGAGTTTGACAGATTTGTATAATCTGACGTAGTGTTGTTTGTGCAACGACGACTACCAACAAAAGCGTTTAAATGCGGAAAATTGGAGACTCCATACCTAACCTATATTTAAGTTTATTACATTTAATTATAACACTTTAGCATTTATTTGCCTCTATCCAGTTTTGTATGGCCGATGTGCTTTTTATGATAATATATAGGTTTTGGTGTGTGGAAAAAGAGCTCTTCAAACGCAAACAAATAATTAATTCTTATCCCGATTGATTCTTTTACCTACTTTTTATATTGATCTTTTATGATGTTTAAAAACTAGCTTCAACTAATTAATTAATTTAAATTAATGCTAGAAACAATTAATCTATGAATTAATTTGAGACAATAATTAATATAAGTTGAATAACAAACAGATAAAAATGTATAAGTATACTATATCAAGCAAAAAATTGTTAGTTACTTAGTTTACTTTAGTTCTGTTATATTTTCTTTATTTCTTTTTCCTCCGGTAGTTAAATAAACTTGCAAAGACAATTTTTTACAGTTTAAATATAAAGTTGAATTACAAGTAATAGGATAATATAGACTAGCAGATAGATAAAGAAACACGTTGATACTATGACTGACCTGTGTTGACTAAGACTGATTTCATGTCCGAACGTCTTACTGCATAGCTCGCACGCGAAAGGCCTTTTCCCGTTATGCGATCTTCGTGCATGCACTTCCAGTCCATGAGGTGTGCTGAACATTTTCTCACATTTAACACAAGAGTACACATCACCTATAGGCAGTGGTCTAGATAAAGGACCCTGAGCACCAAGAACTGCAGCTCGTAATCTAAGTAATTCTGGTCCAGCTACAGCATGAAGGTACAGGTTGCTGTATCCTCCCCATCCAGGCAGACCTAAGCTTCCGTTATCTCTCAAAAATTCGGCAAAGGGTAATGGGTTGTATAGGTAGGGTCTTTGTGGTTGGACTCTTGGAGCATCAGGTCTAAGGAGAACGCTCATTGAAAACGCTTCGGATCTCTTTGGTGGTGAAGTGGAATCTGGTGGCCTTCTCGGTGAAGATGGTGGGGAATCTACTTCGAGCTCCGGTGAAGTCGAACGCACTGATTTTGGAGATTGCGGTGATGGTGCCCAACATGGGCTCTCGCACCGTGATCCAGGGGAGACGTTCTCAGCTCTCGTGATGTCGTTATGGTGGGATTCGTCTTCATCTTCGTTTGATTTGTCACCGACCAAACGGTTGATGCCAAACTTTATTTCATCTGAAACAGAAATAGATTTCTGCAAGAATAGTCATATTGATCCGAATTGGAGTGAATTGTTTATTTTTATCTCGATCGCGATACAATATCCTCATGGTTTTATTGTTTGAAAAACTGCACAAAGGGTATTGTAACGCCCCTGAGCGAGTGAAAAAGTGCAGGTGCCTCACTTGTCGTTCTCAATGAAATGAGCCGTATCATGTCGCAGCAGCAAATTGACTTTCATCTGTTCAGCCCTCGGCCAACCCCCGTAATTAACACGTCGGGTCGGATAGACCCCAACCTTTTTTACAATTCAGTAATCCGCGGGCGCGACTAAACAAAACTACTCATTGTTCGGTTTATTGTAGCATTATGGGCTAGTGCGATATTATACGGTAAGGAATTAGGGAGAAAATATGAGAGTACAATGAAAACAAATGAACAAGTTTGTTTATTTTTACCATATTTTTAACAGTCGCCCGCAAAAGTGAAAGGGTTCGAGTTCCATCTCAGAGTGCCAGGGACAAAGTGGATTTTTTTAACATTTTTCATTAAGAATAAATTTTATTCTATAGTAACTTTCCGCCAGCGGCTTCGCCGGCTTAGGGAACTGTTTATTTATATATCGCTTCATGTCGCAACACTGATATAATTATATAATAGTATAGTATAGTAATAATATAGTAAAGTTACTGATATAATTAATAGTTCCTATGATGACGTTTTAATTCCCTATACAAACTTCAACCCGTTAACATCCCTTTATTCGCTGTTTTTTGAGATAAAATATAGCTTTTGCTTATGATTTAGCTTCTCGTAGGCTTCTCTTCAGAATTTTGGAGTCTATTTGATGCAAATAAACAAACAATTAAATCTTCCCTCTTTATAATATTAGTATAGACAGTATAGCTCATTTCTATTGAATCTAGATTTCGTTTAAATTGAAATAGAGAAATTCTTGTTGGGTATTATATGTTGTTTGTAAATTAAAGATATAAAACTGTAATACGTATCGCTTCACAAAAAAAGGTCCCAGAAAGATATTGTCATTCCGATAATAAAGTTCATACATCATCAACTGGCCATCAGTGAAGACTCACGCTGTCCAAAAACAAACATCCATCTCTGGCCGAGACAAGTTGCTCTAATGAAGAGCGACCCCTATATCTGAAACGCAGCAGCTGTTAGTATTCGGAGCGTAACCAATCGGCCCGCTTCGGCAAAATTCGGCTCTGACTTCGGCCTCGACGACCCCTCACATTTCACGCCCGGGTCTCTCTTGACAATGGCCAACAGTTAAGGGTTGCCTCGCACTTGTTTGTTTGTTCCCTATGCGACACGGTTTTATTACCCCATAGTATTTATTACATATTAATGGTTATTTAGATTCATTGTTCCGCCCCGACAGTATGCTCGAATTTATGGCTTTGCAAAATATTGAATAGGGCCTTGGGGTAATGGAGTGAAATGTAAAGAATAAAGCTATTGATCATTGTGCTATTTTGTAATTAGATGTCACAATTATACTGATTTGATGTTATGAATTCTATACTATGAGTTTAGATTGTTACCTTGTTTTGTAGTAAGCAATTATTACCTTGTTTATAAAATTTGGTGGAACATCTATTCATAACTAAAGTGCAACATGAAAATTTAATCATCCTTATTTACCTGAATTCCTTTAAAGTTTATTATTAACCTTGTCAATTGTGTTTGAATTATGAACTAAGTTGATGATAGTCGATGTTTTTTTCATAATCATAGTCGCCTGAACGTTTAATATTATAAAAAGCTCTAAGATATTATAAACTGTCAACATTGTCAATTGTAACGACTAGTGTTTAACATATTTGTAAATCAAATTCAATTCCATTCAGTAAAGATTTAGCAAAGCTCTTGATTGGACACGAAAAGTACCATTAACGAAAGTTTAAGGTTCAATATACTAGCATAAATATATTATTGCTTTGATGTCTAATGCTCATTAGTTTAAATAAAACCTATTTTGTATATCGTTACTTAATTTCACTATCTTTATTCTCAGTGTCATGAAAAAACACAAGAACCTAAAAGTTTTAAGCAAAACAAGGTGTATATGTCAGTCAACAGTGTAGTTACGGCATTTATCAAGCAAATTGGATTACATACCGTCAGTCAGGCGCATTTTTTCTTTGCAAACAGTGCATTAGCATCATTACCGTCCGCCTATTGCGAGCTTAATGCAATTTTAATTATAAGAGGCGCGGCTTCTGCAATTTGCTCTGGCAATGCATTCAGATTGTTATTTTTCAGGCTTTTAACAAATTAAAAATACCCGTTTCGCTAGAGAGGCGCACAGTGTTCGCAATTTACATACGTAATTTTGAATTGTGAAATCGTATGGACAATCTATTTTCCCTGGTTTATATGCAATGATTGCCATTGTTATTACATGTATTGTCCGTATAGTCCCGTTAATAACTGCATAAATGAATAATTCAACATGACTGTACCGATAATTGAAATTTTAAAAGACATTTGATTTTGAAGTTTTCCATTCCATATAACTCAAATAATTTTATTTGAGTTATATAAAAAACATAATAACTTTAACATTGTATTCCTGAATCGAAAATTCGAAATATAAATAATTACGCGAAGTCAATGAATCGATCTCAATAATTTTCTAACATGCAAGGTCACGGAGCAACCGTTAATCAAAATCGCTGTAATAAATGTTGAATAATAACTGAACTCATACGGGGAGCGTTGATAATTAGAATTCTTTTAATAAAGCATGGGGTGTAATCGACCCGGTCGGCATTCAAGGGTTGATGTCTCAAATATAAGATAATTAATTTTATATCAATCAATGGTGCCAATTCTATTCTACAGCTATCTAAACTAAACTAAAGAAATGTATTTGTTTGAATATATAGTTCTACTCCTGTACACTACCTATACTTTATAGAATTGTAATGCTGTAGAGTTTTTTAGTGTAACGCTTTAATCTCGGGAATCACTGGTTCGAATTGAAAAATTATTTTTGTTTGTCTCCATTTATTAAGAAAGAGTATATAACATAACGCTATGTCTAATAGCAGTGGAGCAGCAAAAAAAATATAACGTCACTTTTCTCAGATCGAGAGTGAGATATCGTATGAGCGCAGCGGTTGCCGTACCTGAGAAAAGTGGCATTTAAACTCGAGAACGTTTTGTCTACAGCAAAATGTCACTTATCTCGGGTGCGCTCATACGATATCTCATTCTGGACCTGAGAAATTCTTCGTCTTCACCTAATGTCACTTTTCTCGTCCATAAAATAAGTCACTCTTGACTCAAGAACGACATAGACAAAATGATTCTTGAGTTTGTCATGCTATCGGTGCAGGTCTACAAAAGTTCTCTGTGGTTACAGAGCCCTATTTTTCGGCTCCAGGTTTATTTTCCCTACGTTACCAAAAACAAATCAGTGGTTCTTAACTAGCGATCACTGGAAGAACCTCAAGTGCACTAACATAGAAAACTATTCGTTTCTTAAATTGTTTTCACCTTCATTTTAAAAACAATCCCCGTAACCCAATATTAAAAGCGTGACAATTATAATCCTACAATCTTTCTCTCTCAGTTAATTATATTAAATCTTAAAAAGTGACAATATTAATCCATAATGAGCAGAAACGAGATTAAATCCTATTTCTTATGGTATAAAAAATAAAATTGCTTGTAAAGTTGCAATCGGTGAAATCCTAAAAAATTACAATCAGCAACTGCTTATAAATCAAATGTTATCATTCTTTTTAAATGTTTGTTATCGGGTTCAATATTATTTTAATCTTTTTATCATTTAGGAATAACCGAAATCATGAGTCCATATAAGAGTCATTTTACTAGCATCATTTACTTTACAGGCACTTACATACAAGAAAGATTTGTCGTTAGTGCACTAAATAAACCTTTTGTATTATCACCAGTGCACTACGAATGTTTCCACTGTTGGGGCTTAGAGAATAGAATGGGCCACGACCCACCACGCGGACCCAATGATGATTGGTATTAACGACTGCAGACGCAGCCGGGACTAACGGCTTAAAGTGCCTTCTGAAGCACTTTACATAATTAAATTTTGGTCACCCATCCTATGATCGGCCATTACGAAAGTTGCTTGACAACCGTATCACAGACCGAGCGCGCTTGCCACTGCGCCAAAAAGACTTTTAAAAATGTTGTAATTAAAAAAAAAAACAATAACTTTTGTGTACAGTAAAGTGTAAAATAAATTTAATATTATGAGCGTTATAATAGAAATTAATGCTTTTTTCTCTCTTTTTTTCGTCTGCTAACAGTGAAGATAAAGAAAAAATGTTTATAAACACGGTAAAACGATCGCGGTAATCCATAAATTTCTATTTAAACGACCGCAGATTTTTAGAATAATATAATTTCAACATCAAACATTATTTAAAAAAAAAAACAAAATATAATATTGCAACATTATAATCAAATGGATTACCACGATTTCCTCTCTTTTAAGTCGTATCAAGGTGGATTCAACACTCTAACTCTATTTAGACAAGAGACATACAAATTTGACATTTTAGTTTAATTATAATAGATGATATATATGAGTATCTCCAATTCACAATATTGACATTACTATATCATGAATCAATTGAACAAATGACATAAAGATTTAAATTTATTAATTATAATAATTTATAAGACGCTATATCCATTATTATTTACATTATTAAATGTATTAAGATTGTATGTGTGATTCTGTTCGCTTATTTTTATGATGTCTGATGGACTTGATAATTGTTACATATTATGTTTGTAGGAATATTAATTTCATTTATCAATTTTAATATTATTTGAAAATTTTTGCATGCCATTTATAGTGAAATGTGCCTGGACTATTATTTTGCTAATATCTTTATTGTAAACCGTATTTCTAGCAAATAAATTACTCTTTACTCCCTAAAAATCGCCATTTTATTGTTATAAGTTCCATTCAACTACAAATAAATAACATAATA